ACTCTGAACCCTGAAACTCATGGTAAAGTACATCAAAAAGTAACTGCATTTAAAGTACATTCAGGTAAAAAGTAGTCTGAATAATTTAGAATGAAATATTAATTTTTTTTATATCCATTCCTATTCAGCCTGAAATTGCCTCTCAGTGACAGTGGAAACAAAAGCATATTGTTTTTCCTATGGTCTCTTTTGTATTGTATACAGAACTTTACTGTTCAAAATAAATAATAATTATTATTTAAATGCAAGTTCATCTATGTAGCACTTACCATTGCATTGGCAAATTGGGTCAAATTGGATGTTGTTGACAGGCAAAATTGTTTTTATTTAATAAACTCACAAATGTATAGGGACTGAAATGGATTTATATAGATGAATGAACCACAATACCTCTGATCAGTAGCTACAGAGAGAGTTTGGTTCAGGTTATTGTCAACAAAGAAGATTGTACTACAGGTTTAGGTTTGGTCCCTGGGAGGGTGTCGGTCCTTTCTGTGTGGAGTTCTCATGCTCTCCCTGCATTTATGTGGGTTTCTGCTGGGGGCTCCAGTTTCCTCCCACAGTCCAAAAGTGTGTGTGGTAGGTTAATTTGTGACTCTAAGTTAGCCTTGTAATGGTTATGTTGTGTCCTGCCTGTCCCTGCAGTTCCTAGGATGGGCTCCTGTGACCTTGACTGGAATTAAGTAGCTATGGTGATGGATGAACTTAGACGAATATCAGATTACTTTCTAAGGGCTATTTATGCAGAAATCCATATGATTCCAAATGTTTTCTCATCAATGTACATAAACACACGTTTGAAATGCCAGCACACAGAACCATTTATTGGGCCAGTAACAGCCAGCCACCACCAGTTCTGACCCGAGAGCACATTGAAATTGCTCTGTACAAACTGGCAACCGGCAGCGAGTGTAGAGTAGTGGGACGAACATTCGGTGTCAGCAAGACAACAGACCACCACTGTATTACCGTGCTGCAGGAAAGACATGTCATAAAAGTCCCGTCACCTGTCAGAACTTTTGTGTAAAGTTTTTTTTGTGCTGTTTTTTCTTCTAAAAAATGTTTCCACCTTAGTTTTTCGCTAAATGTCAAGTGTCGACAAAGGCTTTATCCATTAAAACTAAATGGGAAAAGTGTGTGTCGACATTAGGAGAATTTTAGCGTTACAGAATGTCACCCACTTTTTACCGTTAAAGTGTTTTTGCACATAAAATCTCTTGGATGGAAACCTGCTTACTGGCATCTGTCAAGGACGCCATTATTCAGTAGGCAAGCAAATAGTCAGTTCTTGAAGTTTCTGTGTTGGAAGCCGGAAAAATGGGCAAGCGAAAGGAACTGCGCGACTCTGAAAAGGGTCAAATTGTGATGGCCTGATAACAGGGTCAGAGCATCTCCGACACCACAGGTCGTGTGGGGTGTTCCTGGTACGCAGTGGTCAGGACCTACCTTCCAATACATTACTTTTATTGCATAGTTATTGTTCATGGATACCCCCACTTATAAAGGATTTATTCTATTTTACCTTATACTGACCTGGTAACAACCCCCCCCCCCCCCCCAGGAACTGTTTTTGTCTAGTGTCATGATCTTCTTAAATTGTGGGTACGTCCTTGCAGATGTTTTTACAATGTACTCAGTAAGCTAAAATTGTACTGTAAAAGGAAGCCTTGTTTATTTCCATGGTATTACCAGGATCTTACCATATAATTTGTAATAGATTGATCCCTTTTCCATGCAGTCAACCAAATGTGTACCATGTATATTCTATATTCTGCAATGTTACTAAGTAAAATATAACAATGTATGAAGTAAGGAAGTAAGCTGACACTGTACTGTAAAAGGAAGCCTGGCTTGTTTCCATGGTATTAACCGAGTTAATTAAAAGGTAAAAGTGGAGATATTTCTTCCACTCTTCCACTTCGCGACCTCTGTATTTCAGCTGTATTTTCTCTATATTTGCTTTCTAATTACCTGTGGTAATTAACCAATAATATATTGTAACTCGACTTGTATTTACCAGGTAGTTAGTAATTCGGGGACTTTAAAAGGAAGGATTACCAAACCCTGGCAAACCTGGGGGCTCAGACAAGGTGGGATATTCTGAGTGACTGCTGCACACATTTTGAATGACACCCGCAGGCTTATATATTAGAGATGGTTTTGACACTATCATGCAGTTTTAGCCAGGCTCTGGCATTCTTCGAAACGAGACTATTAGACTTGGCAATGTCTGATCTTTTATGTGCTCAGGCTCTGGTTTGGCATCTAAATGCTCTGCCAGCCCTCTTTGCATTTGGCCAATGCGCGCTCCCTTTGAACACCGCAGTGTTAGGGTTACCCACTGGGTGGCCCTCTCTGCATATTGATTCATGCATCCTTTTAAAAATGCACGGAGCTTGTACACTGCACCTTTTAATGAGACCCCCTGCTATCTTTTGAATTTTAACCTTGTCGTTAAAGGGGCAGTGAAGTGGCTCAGTGGGCTGTGCCTGTAATCAGAAGGTTGCCGGTTCAAACCCTTCACCAACAGCTTACTCTACAAAATAGAGCAAGTTGGAGGTGGTATAAAGACAGTTTCCCCACAGGGATCAGTAAAGTATCTGTTATTATTAAAGCTGGACACAAGGCAGAAGTGAAGCCATTCCATTCTTCAGACTCTATCCAGCAACCCACCCCCCAGAATGCTAAATGGATTATTCTATTCGATTGCATGCACGTCTGAACAATTAACCATCATGTACTTAAACCCGTGAGACTCTCCCCATAGTGCAAATGATCGTCCCTCTCTTGAGTTACGGTCCAAGCTTTCGATTTGATTATTGATTGCCTAGTGTGTGACTCTTTGGCTTGATTCTCTGTTTCATGATTTTGGATTGTCCTCAGGACTCTATTTTCTTCTGATCTACCTTCCCCCTCCATTGCAGCTGCGGGTACATCCTGCACGGGATGCCAGTCAATAGCCGTGTATGCACACTATTGGCAAGTTTAGAGATGTAAATTAGCCTAACTGCAGGTCTTTGGTCTGCGGGAGGAAGCCCACGCAACGCAGGGAGAGCATGCGAACTGCACACACACTGCGTGGAAGAGAATAAAATCCCCAACCCTGGTGGCATAAAGTAACAGTACCCCCCCTCCCCCAGTGTCGTAATGCTTGAATATTCATTGAATTTAAGAATAAAGAACTCAAAATCTCACATCTTAGCATTAAAGCTATTAAACTGACGCAGAAAATGTGTTTATTTTCTATTTGGTGGACCGGAGCATATTGTAAAGTTTGGGTCAGTGCAAGATTAAGTCTCTTTTTTGCAGAGAGAATAAATACATCATAGTGACAAAGATTATTAAACGCACATCCCACGAGCGTAGCATTTTAGCAGCATTTCTGTGGTCTGCAGAGTGGTAAACACATTACATTAAGCTCTCTGCAGGACATTAAGTCTGAAATATTAAATGGACAGCGTCTAAATATAGATTAATGTGACAGGAAGGTCAGGGTTTATGAAATCTGCCACACGACAACCATTCTCACAACCATTCACCAGTTGGTCTTGCAACTGTCATTTAATTGCTATTACAGCTTTTTATATAGTCAGTGTATTTGTCCTGTCATCATCATCCAATTGATTATCCAGTCCAGGCTAACACCTGAAACAGCTCTGGGTAATAATATTGTATTTTTTAATCACCAAATTAGGGAAGAACTCAGATGGAATCCCAAAAATATCTTTATTTATGTTTACCACTTTATGCTGATAAATACACAGAAGTGCACAAACACTGGGGAGCCTGTTTTTCACCCAGAGCTCCTCTCTCTCCAGGTTTCTTTGCAACAAAAACCGAAGACCAACAATCCAGCTTCAGACACAGATTCGACATTCAGTTCAAATTCATTCAGTTAGAATTTATTGTGTTAATATGGTGAATCATGCATTGAAAAGAAGGCTACAGCCCCTTTGTGACCTCGACCAGGATAAGCAGTTAGAAGACAGACGGATGGATGGATTTACATAAAAGGCAGAAGTCGTCATAGTTCGTCTCTCCGCTTGAATCACAACGTCATGGGCAGATTTATGGTTAGCGCTTAGAACTCCTCCTCTGAGTGACCTCTAGACTTACAAAACAGCCTAAAAACCTCATTATTTTTATCAGTTTTAAACTTCAGTTCAGATAGCTATGTGAGGGATACAGTATGTGAAAGTCCACATCTCCTCTGCGAAGACATGGATGGTGAAACAAGTATCTATATCAAAACTTTACATCGTCTCTATTAAAGGAAACATCTGTTTTAGCAGTGTAATATACAGTAGTATATATTTTAGCTCTGAGGAAGTAAGTTTTTAAGGGTACATCACATATGGCACTTTTGGGACCAAGAAAACATGTTCTACTGCAGCTGGCTGAAAGATTAGCCATTATGCTAACAGTCGGCATTTAACAATTATTTGCAGTTAATAAGTCTTCATAATGACTGATTTTGAAAAGCATTTATGTACAACATCTCCCTCTGACATGCTCATTTCTAGGCATTCAGCTCTCCCTCGAGATGCTCGCATCCAAGCCTGCATCAGTGTTGCTCTTCATCGTTACCCTGTCCCTTCCCATCTTTCCTGCCATTGAGGCGATCCTCCTATCCAGTTGCTCCCGAGGTCTCTAATCCATCTCCGGAATAGGATTGGCAGTATTAACCCCAAGGACAATGCTGCCAACTGTCACAGGTCCTCGAGTCTGCTGGATTCACAAATGTGGGGGTGGTTTGTTTTCTATGGTGGGTGGAGCGAGGGAATATGCCTGGAAAGTGCAATGATCTCCTAAGCCACGAATTGGCAGACGGAAGCCTAACGCACTCTAGACTGTGTGGATCTCAAATCTCCTTGCTTGGTCTAATTCTTGCCACTCTCTCTTCTGAATTGTCCATTTTTTTGCCTTCCCTGCTGATCTTTCCATTTGGATTGCCCTACTTGTATATGGGGTGTTGATTTCACTCGAGCTGGCCTGTCACCATGGCTGTGGCGCTGGATGCAGTGTGGGTCCGGGTGAAGAACGTGTGCAAGCAGAACGGCCTCCTGATCTTGTCCGTCTTGGCCGTCGTCATTGGATGCCTGCTGGGCTTTTTTCTCCGCTCTCGTCACCTTTCTGAGCAGGTCTGTACACCATAAACCTGGTCTTTCTTGTAGCATACGGCCTAGGCATCACTGCTGAAGTTCTTGAGTCTCTCATTTGGTTAGCAAATATCTATGAACCTCCCAGTTTTCTGATCACGTGGTGTACTCTTGACGATATGGTAGTTCTCAAGTTCTCTTTGTGGTGGCCATGCATTAAGAGAAATTACAGAGAAATGCTTTGTTTCTGTGACACATAAAAATGTCTCAGCTTTACTCAGTTGACTGTTGACAGACCTACATTGTCTATAGATGATGATAGGGTTTGCCGAAACACCTCGGCCATCAGGAATGTGACTTAAGTACATTGTCTGTTCTGATGGGGAAGTCTGTGAAACTCATAGTGTAACAGCATAGGGTGGTTTCAGAATAGAGGTGTCCTGATTTACCTCTCAGGGATTATGCAGATATTTGCTCAAAAGAGACATTCATGAAAACAGTCCTTTTTAAAATGTTAAACCCTCAAAACTTAGAAGATGCCCATAATTCAAGCATGTTTTGGTCATATTTGAAAGCAGACATGGCTGTGAAAGTCAAACATTAAAATAATTAGTGCTGCTTTGCATAAAAGGTCAGTAATAGACCTGCATCATAGGTAGGTATCTACTGAAAGGAGTCATATCTTCTGTGATTATCACCATTTATCAAAATGCGGTATACAAGTGAAAACACCTTTCCACGTTCCTTTTAGGTACAGTACTGTGCAAAAGTCTTAGGCAATTAAAGAAATGATGTTAAAATGATCTTCATGTTGGTGTAAAACTATGATATTATACCTGTCAAAGTGTGTCAGCTCAGCCATCTCAACACCTCTCTGAAAGTCTTTGCAAAACATATTTGCAGCAACCATCTGACACACCAGTGCATTTGTTGACATACCATGTTTGGCTATTCAATACCTCACTGAGTAAATCAAATTAATCAATCAATCAATTGAACTGGTGGTGAAATTTAATAAACACATAGAATGGCTGAGGTGCCCCTGAGGAGAGGTTTGGACCTGAATTGGTGTTCATCTAGCCATCCAGCAAGATATCAGTAACTTTTTGGAGAACAGAAGAAATTCTTGTTAGTTTTTCTTGTGATGCAGCTAATTTGCATATTATCTAATATTAAACTGAGAGTAAATATACACTTACTACCCAGATAAATAGCTTTAAACATTTTCTTTGACTGCCTAAGTACTGCATAGTACTGTAAGACTGATTTCTTTGTTAAATCTGTTAATTTGTTAATCTGTTTTTTTCCAGCACTGTAGAGAGTGTGGCTGTCATATCAGTTCATAAAGGATTTAAATGAACATAAAATGGCCTTAGCCTGCAATTCAATTATGTTTTGCGTTGTCTGTTGAAAGCATTAATGTGCATTATAAATATTCAAGATCGGCTAAATAATAATAATTTATCAAGGTCACAATGAATATGAAGTATGTCTTTGACTGTGTGAAGATGACACAGGGGGCTGGTTCACTGGACACGAGAGCATGACCCCAGAATCCAGGTGGTGGGAGATGATGATGTCACACAATGCACCTGCCAGCGTTATTACTACAGTACAATATCCAAACTGCTGCTCTGAAAATTCACTTTGCATTCATTTAGCAGACCATTTTAGCCAGAAGCTGGCTCAGCCAGTCCCTGTAACAATTGGGGGTTATGGGTCTTGCACAAGAACCCAGAGGTGGGATCATTTTGCCAACCTTGAGATTCAGACAAATAACCTTCTGATCATAGCTGCAGCATCCTAATCCGCGGAGCCGCACACCCACCTTCAGCTCTCAACTGTGACTCTCTGAATGGTACTATCCTCTCCTTTTCCACTTTATTTGGTATTCAAACTATTAATAATGTTCAGTTATAAGTGCTGTGTCAGGTTATGTCTAAACCTTATTACTGAGAGCATAAGTGACTTGAATTTTTTATCTTTGACCACTATGTTGGAAGAAACATCTCGCCACTTTTTCCTGCCGCCCTTCTCCAAAGTGTATGGGCCTCACCTCCATCCTGAATGACGTTTCAGCGTAGATGGTTCTCCTGATCACCAAGCCTTTTTAGCCCTCCTTAAACTAGCACTCTATACTTACATTTGTTTAAGAGGATGACATTGGGCTGTTTAATGTTCTCATTTCGTTTTCTATGTACAAAAAGTAATTTTATATTTTTAAAAATTAAGTCCCTAGAACCGCCCTAGCATGACGTTAAACTAAATGACATTGTGCAAAAAGTGTCCTTTCAGTGTGATATATCTGATATTATGGAATTATTTGTAATGGAAAATGTAATGGCTAAGGTTAATCAAACATGATATGCTCAGGAATAACACGGCAGAGAAACAGAAAATAGCAAAAATAATTTACTAGTAATTTTCTTCCATCACATGATTTATTACTTTGGTAATAACATTGAACTATTAAGGCTTTGCCCAATCACAGTCCATTCTTGGGACTTTTGCCTTCATCCATTGTCATCAACTGCTAGGTTACCTGTTACCCAAGAACTAACTGTACCAATGCTTACATAAGAACATAAGAACATAAGAAATTTACAAACGAGAGGAGGCCATTCGGCCCATCAAGCTCGTTTGGGGAGAACTTAGCTAATAGCTCAGAGTTGTTAAAATCTTATCTAGCTCTGATTTAAAGGAACCCATGGTTTTCGCTTCCACTACAATAGCAGGAAGACTGTTCCATACTCTGACTACATGCTGTGTAAAGAAGTGCTTCCTCAAATTTGTTTTAAAATGTTCTCCCGCTAATTTCCACTTATGGCCACGAGTTCTAGTATTTAGACTAATATTAAAATAGTCATTTGGCTGAACAGCATCCAGACCCGTTAGAATCTTACCTTTAAATACTGTGCAGAGCATCACCAGCTGGGTACTATTTAATCTTAGCAGTTTGAGAGTAAAATGTTTGCTATAATCTAGTCTCAAATGATTATAGCAAAATCTTTATAGTTTTTTTAATCAGTGATTAGTATGCTTGCTCCACTAGATGGCAGTGTTTATGCAAAACACTGTGTGACGTACCAATAACCCATAATACACGTAAAGTATTTTTGGCTTTAGTTTGGCTTTAGTTTTGAAAACAGTCAGTGGCTTTTTAAGAAAATTGATTGAAAAATTAATCCAAAAATGCAAAAGGTTGTTGGAAAAACTTGAATAAGCAAGTTTATCCATCCATCCATCCGCCCATCTCATCCTACTCTCAGGGGACCTGAAGCTTGTGCCACGCAGCACAGGGCACCAGCTTGGGGCACCAGCTTGGGGCACACCTTGAACAGGATGCCAGTCTCTCACAGGGCACATACACACACTCTTTCACATACAACCATACTCTATGGGCCATGTAGAGTCACCAATTAACCTGACGGCATGTCAGTGCCCTGTGGGAGGAAACTGGAGTATTTATAGGAAAGTCAACACAGTGAGAGCATACAGTCATGTGCAAAAGTCTTAGGCAGTTTAAAGCTATATTTTTGCTCAGAAGAAGATATAAAATCAGTTTCACACCAACATGAATATTATTTAAATATCATTTTCTTGCCTGCCTATGATGTTTGTACAGTACTAAATATCCATTTTCCTGTTTATGTAATTGTGTTTTAACTTTTAAAAATATATATTATTGCTGTTAAATGTTTCTGATGAATGACAGCATTGGGGTTCAAATGCACAGAATAAATGTTTTGTGCTGCGTTAAGGAGCAGGAATGCGGGATGTGCACCAGCTGGCCAGCAAACTGTTCACAGTGTTGTTTGAGGTGGAGTCTCCATGAACCAGGTCTTAAACCAAGGTAGCATCTCGTTAACTGCAAACAGACACTAATGAGAGCAGCAAGTCCTTATGTTGTCCCCAGGCCAGGCAGCAAACGGCTAGAAATGGTTAATCCACAGTGAAAGAGGTGAAATATTTTTTGTCGTTTGGCCGTGTCATCAGAAAACGGAGGTTGCTAAGACAACCAGGGCATGTGGGTGAGTTTGGAGGGGGACAAGTTGTTCAAGAGGGTCACAGGAAGCTTCCTGTGAATGGTGCACGCGGGTCGCTATTAACTCGTAACTGCAGAGGCTCTGGGCAGGCGGAGTACAGATTAAAACGTTAGCAAGACAGCAGAGTGCCTTCAGTAAAGCGGGGGGGGGGCTGTGTGTGTGTGTGTGTGTGTCACTGGAGTTTACTGCGCCGAAGAGGACAGACTGCAGGATTACGGCCCTGTAATGCCCTACGCAGCGGGTAATGGGGGAGGGGGGGCGTGTGTTTCAGGGTTTAACATTTGGCTCAGTCAAGCATGGTCAGTAGACCACAGGCAGTGACTTAGCAGAGAAACCTACATAAAGACGGTCCATCACTGTTACAACATTACACACACTATACAGTGGTACCTCAGAACTCGAACTTAATCCGTTCAGAACTCGGATTCGAATCCTGTTTGAGTTCTGATCGAATTTTCCCCATAAGAAATAATGGAAAACCAATTAATTGGTTCCAGGCCCCAAAAAATTACACCTAAATATGTTTTGTTTTTTTTGTTTTTTTTAGCATTTAAACACTACACTAACAGGATAAAACAAGAAGAGCATATACTGTACTAAACACATCTAAGCACATTTATCAAAAGTAATTTGTAAAGTAAGAAAATAACTGTATCCAAACAATATGTAAAGTAAAAAAAAAACCAACGTGTCCTGCCCTGATTGTCCGCTCCTTCCGTGTGCCACGCCCCCTCGTTAACTTCGTATGGAATCCACGTGTGATCAGCTGTTTCTGGTTGTTGTCATTAGTCCTCTGTATTTAGTCCGCGTTTCAGTTTGTTTCCTCAGTCTGGTCATTGTATTGTCCGTCTGCGTTTTGCCTGCCTTACCTGTAATTAAATCCTGTATTCCCCGATACCCTGACGTCTGTGCCTTTGTCTCCATTTTCTCCCCGCTTGGCACGACAATATTATTATAATTAAATATATTAATGGTTTATTATTAATGGTATTAAAA